CACACACACACACACACACACACACACACACACACACACACACACACTCTGATTGTTTTTTGTTCTAAATCCCTTCATGCCTGCACATGGCACTCACCAAGTTTACACACTTCAAAACACAATGTTATCCACAATATAAAAATGTAATTTAAAACACGCAATCTAAGACAGGAAAATGATCTTTTTAAAGCAGAGATTTGCCTGCATGTATTCTATCCTTGTGACAAGCATCATAGTTCTTGATACAGAAATCCAGGTTACTTTCAAACTGGATCACTGTGCCGTCTCTCTCATAATTGGGCGTTAGTATGCACCTGAAAAGGCTTCCTAAGTTAGCAAAAAAAAAGTTTAAGCATACTGCATTAACTAATAAAATCTTCTATTACCCAGCACAGTGCCTTGTTCAAAATATAGGATTCTTCAGAATTGATTGTTCTCATTCAGTGTACAAGTGATACCTAATAGTTAATTCAAAGAAAATAAGCCCCTCCTATATAGAAGTTGTTTTTTCCCCTCAAAGAACTAAAAATACTAGGAGGATTTGCAAGTACTGCAATTATGCACTGGACATATTCCAATTTTGCACCTAAATCTGTAAATAAAAAAGTGATAATTTTCACTGTATTTCTGTCCATTTATTCACTGTTTATCTTCCTTTCTGGCCAATATAAAGTGTGGACTACATTTAAGATAAGTGTCATGCTATGAACATCATTTAACCTGTACTCACTGGGCACATTTACACATGAAATTAATGTGATGCAATAAATTGACACACACTGTGCTGGAATGTATTGCTTCCAGGTGCTGCATCTTCACATTTGCCTGGGATCAAAGCCCATGGAGCTGCATCAGAGAATCTGTGGCTGGCAGGGAGCCCAGGGGGGCAGCCTACCAGCCCAAGGCTGCTCCGACCCAGCTCAATGTACTGTGGAGGGGCTGGGCTGGGGCATGAGGGTGCTCCAATGCAGGGCTAGCCAGCAGGCAGCCCCTGCACTGAAGAACCCTCATGCCCGAGCCAACCCTATCAGCATCTACACCTCCACTGCTGTGCACTAAATAATGCTGCTTCAGGACAGCACTTGTATTTAAATAGTCTTAAGTGGCCTAATAGGGCCCCTCATGTAGATGCTGAGACTTTGCTGTGGAGTTAACTAGGCAACTCCAAGGCAAGCATCTTGTGTTGATGCGCCCACTGATACCCAAGCCTTAATTTCACTCGCCCATGTGTGATGTGAAAACAAAATGGAGGTGCCATAACAGATTTTTTACGGAAATTTTGGTTCAACTAAATTGCAGTTCTGCAATGCAAAACACAGAAATTGACAGAATGTCATCCTGATTCACTATCAAATTGCAGCAAGTATAGTTTATTCAGTGTTTTGATAGTTGAGCAAGTCTCTTGGAATGGTCCCATGAGTCCCACATATAAAGCTTTAGCAGATATCATGTCCATCCAAAAACTGAAGTCAGACAAGCATTTACTACAAAAATGTTAACTAATGATAAGAAAAATTTTAAAAGAAATAGCTTATGGAGTTTTCAGTGCTAGGTATATGCTCACTGCAGATATCCTTAACTTCCAGTTCCAAAATCAACTGAAATCTTTAAACTGAAGCATTAGAGAAGAGATCAGAGCAATGAAGAAAAAAGATAAAATTTCCAGCTTCTACTCTTGTCCACTAGCATTTTACCTGAGCAACTGATCATCTTAGTTAAAATCCACTGATTGAAAACATATTAATATACTACATAAGTAGTTTGAAACTGCAGCATAAAGCAGCAGAGGAAAAAAATGAAAATGCCATAAAATAAACCACAAGAGAAAAAGATCTGCTCATAAAAAAATAGAGTAAGCCAAAAATAATAAATACTAGCTTCAGTGAAGGAAGTATTTGTTATTTGATCTCAACAGGCAAAAGAGAGGGCTTCATTTCCAAGATATCTGCAATTTTGGCTCACTCAGGTGACAGCCTCTATTTCGAACTTTCTCCTTTCATGCAGTATAGTTTTAGACTTTTTTGGTGACTAATGGTATTGATTATTCACATGCACATCTTATCAGGTTATGTTCCCTGCACCAGAAATCAGATATAAACAACTTATAATACGGGGGTGGGCAAAATGTGGCCCATAGGCCAGATGCAGCCCGCCAGCCCATTCTATGTGGCCTGTGAGCCCCCTAAAAAATTAAGAAAATTAATAGTTATCTGCCCCTGGCTGTCTCATGTGGCCCTCGATGCCTTGCCAAAACTCAGTAAGTGGCCCTCCACCTGAAATAGTTGCCCACCCCGTTATAATATCTGCAGTGAGGTTTATTAGCAAATGGAGCCTCAATTTGACTGTCAAAAGTACTAAATAAGATTCATGTGAGTGCCTGTATGCTGTTGGTAGTTGCAAAAGGCAAGGATTTATTAGACTGATATCTTTTATTGGACCACCTGTATAGTTGGGGTAGAGTGAGACAAGTTTTCAACTGCAAAAAATTCTTCAACAAGTCTGACCAGAACAAGTCAAGCACAGCACAGAAAAAAAAAAAAAAAGTGGTAGCTGCTATATTTCAACCTAGGCCCTTCTTTTTAAAAACCTTGGCTTTCCTTTGGCCCAATCATTCAGCCCATGAGATAGGGGCCAAAGCATATAAATATGGTTATACTTTCCTTGATTACAGCTAGAATTCTCAAGAGTCACTTTGGGGCTTGCATCCTCAATACAGGCAGTCCTTGACTTACAACTTTTTGAGTCGCAACAAACATCAGTTAAGACATTTATGAATTGATGCCCCATTCTGATGTTCCAACGTGGGTTTTGTCTTTATGACAGTCAATACTGCATGCAGCTGCTAAGTGGTGGAAAGGGAGGGGGAAGGGAAGGGGCGTGGGAGGGGGCGTAGATCATGAGGCGGGGCAGATGGGGCCAGAGCTGCACTTCGGGCAGGTGGTGGGGGCTACAGCATATTTTCAGGTGCCTTCAACCCCTCATAGCCCCCACCCTGCCACCTGCCCCACCCCATGCAGATCCGAGAGCACTGGAGAAAAGTTGTCGTCTCACAACCCTGAGACACTGCTTCTGCCTTTGTTTCAAGGTAATCTGAATCATCACAGAACCTCACAAGAGGTGAGACACTCCATACCAGTTATGAACCGACTGCCCAGAGGAGTCTTCCATCTATTGACTCCTCTGTGAAATTCTATGAAATATGAACTTTCATTTCTGCCCAGGAGAACTTTTACAATCTTTTTGAAGATGCCCGATGAAGGGTACCCAAAATTTACAATTAAAGAATTCTTTTTTGCAAAAATCTTGTTGATCTAATAAAAGATATCATCTCTACTATGAGTCCTGATTGCTTTTAAGGGAAACTGGACCTTTAAAAATGGCGCATAAGTTTTGCAATAAGTTGGAAATGAATGATCTATTTCTTAATTTATCTTTACCTTAACAATTTTGGAGGGAAAGTTTCCTTGATTTGAGATCACTTTTTGTAACAGTAACTTTTAAAGTGTGATATTTCAGAGCAGTGAGCTTGTTTCTTTCCTGGGAATTGGGAGCCAGCCATGCTTGTAAATTCTGTAGGAATTTAAGAGAGTTATTCCAACTATATCACTACCAAAAAATGTGGAGCTTGCCATCCCTGCACTGGACTGTAATTCATTTCAAGGCCTTTCCCTCACATTGCTTTTCTTTTCAGCAGTTATAAATGTCATACATCAGTGCAATTGATTCATCTTAATTGAATTTGTACCAGAAATTTTTGGGACTGCTCCTGCCAGTTGTCTAGAGAATGTGATCATTTTTCATTAGCATATTTGGATTTAATAAACACTGAACCACTACATGAGAAAAGTCTTACAAAATAGATTGGTAAGAAGCCCTGCTACCATATCAGTCCCAATAATGTTGAGGTTTTTCCAATGCACTACTGACAGGTTTTTGATCATTAGTTGTTTTTTCAGACCATAACAAAACGATTGATATTGTTGTACTGCTGATTTTAGTGCCTAAGGAATATGATGCACCAAAAAGCACCTCTAGACATATATACACACATATTTGGGTATATGTGTGTAAACTTGAAAAATACTGAGTTAATTGGGTGTTGGAGGCAATAATTGCCTGCCAAGGCTGCTTATGTGCAGCTCTGACCCTGCAGCCATTTGCAGACCAGACAGCCCAGCCCCTGGCAAGAGTTGAAGCTCAGGTATGGTTCTTCTTGGTGGCAGGGGAGAGGGTGCAGGGGGAAGATGGCCAGGAGCTGCCAGTTATCTGTACCCTGCTAGGTCAGGCCGGGGCTTGGTGAGGTCACAGCACTGCTAATGCAAAGCTGCTCTGTGTTCCCATGTTCCACTTCAGGCTGCGCCTCACAGGCACAGGTAGAGTGGTTCCTGCCTGGCCCTGGCATGCCTTCTGTCTGACCCCAAGTCCCCAACATGCAGCCAGGTCAGGTAGGAGCCACACCAGCCACACCCATGTGAGCTAAAGCAGCATGCAGGAACATAGCATCAACCCAATCCAGCTGTGTACCAGGGACTCGGGGCAGGGAAGGAGGTGCAGGAAGGAGGAGGAAACAGCACAGCACCAACTTTCATGGGCGCAGATAATCCACTGCTCCTCACAGGTCTCCCTGCACTGCTCCCCTGCCCCAAGTCGCCAGCATGCAGTTGGGCCAGGCTGGTGCTATACCATGTTCCCAT